ACGGGCTTCAGAGTAGCAGCCGTGTTAGTCTGTATCCGGAAAAAGAACGAGGAGTACTTGTGGCACCTTAGAGACTAACAAATTTATTTGAGCATAAGCTTTTGTGGGCAACAGCCCACTTCATCAGATGCATATGATACTATATGTTCCATTCTATGCATCTGATGAAGTGGGATGTAGCCCACGAAAGCTTATGCTCAAATAAATTTGCGAGTCTCTAAGGGTAGGTCTACACTTACCCGGTAGTTCGGCGGCGAGTGATCGAACTTCTGGGTTCGACTTATCGCGTCTTGTCTGGACGCGATAAGTCAAACCCGGAAGTGCTCGCCGTCGACTGCGGTACTCCAGCTAGACGAGAGGAGTACCGCGGAGTCGACGGGGGAGCCTGCCTGCCGCGTGTGGACCGAGGTAAGTTCGCACTAAGGTACTTCGAACTTCAGCTACGTTATTCACGTAGCTGAAGTTGCGTACCTTAGTTCGAATTGGGGGGTTAGTGTAGACCTGGCCTAAGGTGCCACAAGTACTCCTCGTTCTTTATGTCCATAATAATCATCTTCCCAATTCCCCTTGCTGTTCACTCCTTTTGATGTTCTCCCTGCCACCAAATTAACACCCTGTTAAATTTCATGCCCACAGCAGCTTTAATCTTCAGGCATTAACATTAATCGTAGACATTAACCCTCTGCATGACACTCCTTCTCAAGCCCGGTCTGCACACCAGAACTGCACCAATTTAACTAACTGGTTTCTAAAGGTCTGGTCTACACTTAGAAATTAGATCGGCCTAAGAAACATTGCTCAGGGCTGAGAAAAATGTTGCATCTTGAGCACTGTAGCTAGGTTGACCTAACCCTTGGCGTAGACATGGCTAGGTTGATGTAAGAATTCTTCCATTGACCTAGCTACTGCCTCTCGGAGAGGTGGATTAACTCGTGAACTACAGCTATGGAAAAAAACCTTGCATTGATGTAGGAAGCCTCTACACTACAGCATTATGACAGCACAGCTACGCTACCAGAGTACTGTAGCAGCTGTAGTGTAGCGATGCCCTGAACTAATTTAGGGCTTGTCCATCCAGGAAAGTGGCACTGGCATAACCTAAGGTGTGAATTTAAACCAAATACAGTTAAGATAAACCAAAAGAAGCGGCTCTTAAACTGAACTAAGAGTGTCCACACAGAGGTTTGCACCAGTTTAAGCTGATTGGTAACAGCTTTCATTTAAAGAAAAATAACCCACTTAAGCCAAAATAAGAGCAACCACACAGGGATTTGCAAACTGATTCAAGTTGAACTGGTGCAACTTTCCTGTGCTGAGAAGGCCTCAGTTAAACCTGTATAAATGCCTTTGGTTGGACACTCAAATAAAATTAAGAGTGACTAAAATTAGTTTAATTTAACATTAAGATAATTAACAGTAACCACTCTTAATCCAATTTAAACATATCCACACAGTGAGGTTGCATTGACTTAACTAATGTGATGTAAAAAACTATTTTGTTAAATAGATGCAATTTCTGGGTGTGATGCACTGCGGGATTGTTGCCAACTCACAGGATTTGATCACGAATCTCATGATATTCATTTATTTTTCTTAACTGTGTGACTCCAGGGGCTGAAGCTTTATGTGAAAAATCTCATTCTCAGCTTTCTTTTTAAAAACTAAAGTGGCTGCAGAGAAAAGCTGAAGAACAAACCCTAAATGCTCAAAAATCAGAAGGCAAGGGGGGGAATTTTTTTTTTTTTTAAATCTCATGGTTTCGGGGAGCCTGACTCTTAGGCTACATCTACACTATGGAGTGGGGGGGTCGATTTCAGATACGCAAATTCAGCTACGCGAATAGCGTAGCTGAATTCGACGTATCTGATCCGACTTACCCCGCTGTGAGGACGGCGGCAAATCGACCGCCGCGGCTGCCCCGTCGACAGCGCTTACTCGTACCTGGGCTGGTGGAGTACGTGCGTCGATTCGGGGATCGATTATCACGTCTCGACGAGACGCGATAAATCGATCCCCGAGAGATCAATTTTCTACCGCCGATCCGGGCGGGTAGTGAAGACCAGCCCATAGTTTTTGAACTCTTGGGCTTGCCAATACAGTTGATTAGTTTCTTGTTACACCTACAATGTGCTAGGCTCTGTACAACCCCAAAAAGGCACAGGCATTTCCTCAAGGAACTGATACAAAAAGCTATGACCAGCTCTCCCTTTCAGATCAGACTTTATTCCTTAAGGAGCCAGTACAGTCCTGTCCTGTCAGACAGTGGCTGTACAGCAGTTAACAAACAATCTGGTAATAATTACAATGCCCCTGAACTTTCTCTATTTGCTGTCTCCTCAGCATTTTTCTCTGTAATGCTCACTTTTCAATGTACTGAAGGAGGAAAAAAATGCCTTAAAGACTGTGACCAGCTGTAAAATTTGTTGCCAAGTTGGAGGAAAAGGTAAAGAACGTAAAAAGAGCAACCAAAGAGAACCAGCTGGTTCTTTAGCAACCCTTGCAAAAAATCCAGCAATTCAGTTTCAAATGCACTTGGGGAATCTGTGCATAAAATAACAGAGCAGTTTCAATATCATCATCTTTCAAGGGTCCTTTCCCTGACTGACCGTAACCTGTTCCCAGCAAGCAGCACCAGCCGTCCTTGGAAGGGGGAGGAGAGTGTTACAATGGTGAAGAAACTATAGTGCTTCTGCTACGTGCAGGATGTGTGGGGAAAGCGTGTGAGTGACTCACTGACTAGCCCTCGCTCACATACTGAATGAAACTCTGGGCCAGAAATAAAGTCCCAGATTTCAGTAACAAGTACTTATCTGCACGTTTACCGCTGTACATTTACACCATGACCCAGATCCTTGAGACTGGCTATTTAGTGCCTCATGCAGGTCAGGGGTGTAGGTAGGGGGACAAGCCACCTTTATGCTCTTCCCCCCAATCACTTTGTCCCACAGTGTTGTCCCAAGGATCCTCACGGCTACTCCAAGTTGCACTGGCTGCCTGCAGCCCCAAGACCATGCTCCCTCCAGCCCTATACCGGAAGGTCTGAGGAGGGGAGGAGGAGCCCCCCAACTGGCTAACACTGCCTTTTTGGCTGCTTCGTACAACCAGAGTAGTTCAGAACAACTTTAACAGGGTCTGGCCCTGTACTGTACCATTGCGTTTGGGCATACACAGAGTCACAGTTTACAAAGTGGGATCCACACCCACACCCCCACCCAGTGGCTCTGCTAGAACAATCTCTTTGACCCAGCTGTACATTACACTATTTTCTCAATGGAACTTCACTTCTCTTTCCACTATAATCAACCGGACAAAATTTCCCTCTTAGCTCCACACAGTCGATCTTGACTCTGATATGCTGTTCTCCCTGGCAGATCCACACATAGGGAGCGAGAACAGACTACCTGTATCCACATTCAACACTACCCTCTGGATCTGAGAGGAGAATTCTGCCCAAATTTTCCAAGCAGTTCTGAGGGATCAGCAGGCATAGCTCCCGCTGCCTGCTCTCGGCTTGAGCAGGTATTCAGACCAGCAGTCCATCCAGCTGCGTAAGGCTCTTTCAGACAAGGAATTGTTCTGTACACTGCTCAGCATTCACTGGCTCAGTGGGTGATGTAGTCTGCTTTACGCTGATGATGCAATGCTCTTATGGAGCAGGCAGCAGAGGAAATGTCAAAGTGCTACAGACTGTGTCATGCTTCCCATGAACATAACATACTGTACTTTACTTTCACACTCGTTTCAATAGAAAAGATTGCATGCAGCTGGCTTTCTTTTGGTTTCAGGATAGGAGAACTGAAGGCAAGAAACCACATTCAGCAAGTGGGGTGGGTGGAATGCAGCAGAGAGAGGGAGGGTATGTCTACACTACACCGACTACAGCGGCTGTAGTGGAGATGCTTCCTACTTGGACAGAAGGGTGTTTTCCACTGGGATTCTGTGTGGTTAATCCACTCTGAGAAGGGGTAGCTAGGTTGACGGAAGATTTTGTGATATGCAGCATTTAGCCCATGTTGTAACTGAGACAATCCATTTAGTCATTCAAGATGATCAGTATTCAGCTGCTAGTTTTTGCTGTGCAATTTCAACTATAAGGTTCCAAAGAGAGACAGATCAATGCATTCCCCAAGCTCCTACGTACATACTATAAATCAGGGGTTCTCAAACTGGGTTTGGGACCGCTCAGGGCGTCCCGAGGTTCTTACATGGGGGGCTGGGAGCGGTCAGCCTCCACCCCAAACCCCACTTTGCCTCCAGCATTTATAATGGTGTTAAATATATAAAAAAGTGTTTTTAATTTATAAGGTGGGTCACCCTCAGAGGCTTGCTATGTGAAGGGGGCCACCAGTACAAAAGTTTGAGAACCAATGCTGTCAATTACACTTTTCTGAAACACTAGGTTACCTTCCAAGGGCAATATTCCCCCTTTAAAGCCACACTGCTGCTGACTTTCCCCAAGAGCAGGGAGGGACATTACAGTGCTTCTTGCCGCAGTTTAGGAGAGATCTGGGCAGATTCCAAACCTTGTGCATTTCACACATCCTTCCCCCGAAGGGGGTTTATGAGTCTGCCGCTGCCCCAGCCCTAGGCACGACCACCCCTGCACCCTCGCCCGCCATCAAGCAAACACATCAACCAGCCCACTCCTCCCCTGCCGACCGCCCGAAACTGGAGAGGGCAGAAACGTTTGCTACGTGACTCCCAGGCTCCAAGCCTGCCCAGAAGCCCCCTCCCACTTCTGGTGCCCAGAGGATGGATTAGGCTGAGTGATGCCTGCGTGATCCGGGCGTGATCCCCCCCCCCCCCGGTGTGTCTGCTCTGTAGCTGGCGACCCCAGCCCCCGCAGCGAGCCTCAGGGGGGCGGTCACCCAATAGAAACCCTGCTGGCTGCATGCTCTCGGGGCGTGCACAGCCCTGCTGGCCCCCCGCCTGCCTGAGCAAGGAGGAGCCGGCCCCGGGAGGGGAGGAGCCGCCAGGGCGATATAAGGCTCGGGGTGGCTGGGGGAAGCAGCTGCCAAGCTACAGCGGAGAACTGAGCCGAAATCCCTCGCTGCGAACCCGCGGAGCACAGCGCGCCCTGCGGTAAGTACAGCGGGAGCGGGGTGCAGTCCCATGCCCCCTGAGAAAGGGGACCACGTGCCGAGGGACCCCCGGCTTATCCTGGGGGAATTCCAGACCCAAACACCGGCAGTTACTAGGGTGACCAGATGTCCCGATTTTATAGGGACAGTCCCGCTATTTGGGGCTTTTTTTTTTTTTAATATGGGTTCCTATTACCCCCCCACCCCTTATTACTATTGAGCCATGTCTGGGAGTTCTTCAAACTCCGCTTTGCAACGGGGACTGGCCCGTGTGGATGTGGCTGGAGAACGGCTGAAGGGATCGCTTGGCGGTGAGGTTTTGGTACTGCCCATCACCGCCCTAGCGGAGTGTCCGCGTTTTCCTGAAACAGACACTGGGCCATGACAGTGTTCATTAGTGTTGCCTGCCTGTGCCCTGTGCCTGTGCCCTCTAGACGGACTCCGCTTTCTCTTGGAAGCAGCCCTGCTGAATGCAGAAGGAAGCTGCTCGAGATAGCAGCTGATGGGTCTCTCTCTTTTTTCCCCCCTCTCTTGCTCTCCAGGTTTTGTGACCTTCCAGGTCTGCGGCCCTAGATGGAGACCATGCAGGAGCTGATTCCCTTTGCCAAAGAAATGTTCACCCAGAAGCCCAGCAGAAAGATGGTCAAGATCTATATGCTGGGCAGCGTGCTGGCTTTCTTCGGGGTGGTTATTAGCCTGGTGGAGACCGTCTGCAGCCCTTTCACCTCTGAAGAGCAGCTGGAGGAGGAGGAGGAGAAGGAGAAGAGACCTCCCCTGACCAAAGAGCACACTGTCCCCCAGAAACAGCGGGATTTGATCGTGGAGAAGAGCAAAGAGCAGGATGTAATGCAGAGGAACTTGGTGATCAGGCAGCGTGCATCCTAAGAGAGACTGCCCAGTCAGTGATAGGCGTGCCCAAGAGACTGCTGGCCTGTTTGATCTCCAGGTGCGGACTCCAGGGAGAAGGGAATCGACACTGACTGCAGACGCAAGGGTCTCTAGAGAAGTGACTATTATTTGCTGCTATGCAGCAGTTCAAAAACGCCACCCGTTGAATATGTACCCTTTTGTTGGTATAAAAAGGTGTAAGGTGCCCGGCATTTTGCACCAACATGTTTTTTTTTATTATGAATAAACTTTACAAATATATTTTGCATTGTAAATAAATATTTTATACATTACCAAGCCTCTTTCATTTGTCAGTCTTCAAAGAGGGATGGAGTCTTAATTCAGCTAAAGTTATTGAAATAAATTCTTCACAGCCTAATGCCTCCTGCAGGGTGGTGTTTTATCAGGGCACTTAGGGAAGCATCCTAAGTTTGGCAGTGAAACAGTTGCTGAATGCTGTCACCTTCCAATTAGTACAAACACACAGTCAACAATGGGAGACCCTGTGTGGTTGGTTGGTTTGTTTTTCTTCTCCCCCTTTTGTTTTCTAAAGCCTAACTTCTTTATACAAACCAGATATTGCTCACATCCCTGTATTTATAATCATACACAGAGGTTGGTTGGTTTGGGTTTTTTTAAGGTTGGAGGCAGGGGCAGTGTAGCCAGATGTTGATCTCTGTTACATGGGTGTAAATGCAGAAAGGGATATCTGGCCCATTCTGTCTTATTCCTAACAAGCTGCAGGACTAATGAAAAGAGCCTGATCCTGCCTCCATTAATGGTAATGGCAAAGCTCTCAAGGACATTAATACCCACTTCTTACATAGTACTTTACAGTACCATTATTCCCATTTTGCAGAGGGGATAACAGACACAGAGCAGTGAAATGACTTGCCCAAGGTCACCGACCAGGCCAGTGGCAAAGCTGGGAATAGAACTCACGCCTTTGAGTCCCGGTCCAGTGCTCTACCCACTAGGACACACTGTGCTCACCAGACCGTCCTTTGATCACAATTTTCCCGCAATTTCTCACCTGCATGGTCTTGAATGCAGCAGATTGTTAGCACCACATGCTTTAATTAACAAGCGAGTAGGTTAACGGTTTCCACTGTACTTTAAAAAAAAAAAAAAGATTGGTGCATGTATGCTACATGTAACACAATGCTAGCAAACTCACCCATTCAGAAGTCAATGGGTCATCCAAGTATGGGAGGGGCACGTCAATGTTGGTTTCTACTTGCTAGAAGTTAGAAGCTGCAATGCTATGTCCAGTGCCCCCAAGGAGGCAGGGTAAACATTTCTCACACTAATTCCCTGCCAGGTACACGCTGTATATAGCATCAGGAAAACACACAAGCAATGTGCCTCTGTGTAGCCACAAGGGGAAAAAAGATCCCTTTTCTAATTGCTACAGAGAACGGGAGATCGTGGAAACAAAAAAGATAGGAAAGCAGGAAGGAACTAGCTAGAAATATCCTGAATGGTTTCTAGATGCTAGTCTTATTTTAAGAATAAAAACATCCAACTTCACCCTTTCATCTGTGTAACCAACACCGGTTGTCAAAAAGGGCACATAATATGGGGAGAATGTCCCTGAGCCTGTAAAAACTTCATGTTCTGAATTAAACACAAGGGTGCACGTACATTTTCCATCTGGGAAAAAACTGGGATAGACATCAACATAAAATAGCACTTGAGAACTAACGTGTTTTATGTGCCAATCAAGCATTCCTCCGGGTTTCAGTTTCCCAGACATGACAGACGGGCCAATGCCTCATTCACTTCACTGGATGTTGAGTGTGCAAAGGTGAAGGCACAATTTAGCCTGAAGAAAACAGTTAGCTGAACCATGTCCCTGAATAATGCCAGATCAAGGACACTGATAGTTTTACAGCCTACCCAGATTCTTATGCTGCAGAAGGCTTGTGGCAGTGGAAAGAAAAACTTTGGGCCCATACTCCAACCCCCTTACTCACCTCGCTGCCCCGTCCTGTACCTTACTTCAGAAATAGTCTCGTTGACATTGATTTTTGTTGTGTTTTTACATCTCCTAGTAGCACAGTGGGGTCCTGAGCTATAGTTGGGGCTCCTAGGGGCCACAGGTGTGAATGTGATTTAAGTGAGACAACAACTGGGTCTTGACTTGATTCAAGCCTTTTTGGCTTCAAACTCTTAATATCTTATTCATTCACAGGACTAGACCTGCTTCACAGGTTACACCTGGTGCAGGACAATAGGGAAACCTAGAAAATGAAGAGAAACATTTCTTCTTTGCTGTCATAACAGGAAACCCCTGTGATGCAGAGTTCAGAGGCTTTAGATGAAGCCTCTCTGTTGAATGACCTGAATTTAATATGAGCCAGCAATTATTTTTATCATCCTTCAACTCTGTGCAAAGGGGCATTTCTTTTTGTCTGGGATGACTGGGAGAGGGCAATCGTGTCCTTCCACCCGCTCCCCCTTTGAATAAAAATAGAGTTATCTAATTTCAGGGTTTATGAGCTTAAAGCAGAGAGATTTGTGCAACTGTCAAAATAGCTGCACTTTAGGCGGCTAACGGGATTAGACAGCTAGAATAGCCGTGACGATGCCAGTACGTCTAGAATCTTCTGAGCAAGTCCCTCCTTCCAGGATGCAGCCTTCTGATCTACTGTGATCCTGGGGGTCATCCCCTTGCAAATATTTCCCCCAAAGGTCAATCTGAAAGATCAGTTCTGTATCTCATTGATTCTGCAACATGAGTTTGCACTTAGTGCATAGAAAACTCTGGCTTTTTACAGCCGTGCAAATTAGGCAAGTGTCAGTGGCTAAACTGCTGTGCAATAATGCCAGTGCAAAGTTTTACATCAAGCCATGTGTATTAGTTCCAGTGCTTGTGAATTCAAAATAATGTCACGATTATATTGTAACAGTGGTGGGTTGCAGGAATCACCCACTAAAGAAGAGCAGGTTTCAACAAACCCCACTTTCTTCATTATGGCTGGAATTTTCAAAGTGGCCTGTCATTTTGGTGCTTCCGTTTTTGAATCCCCAACTCGAGGCACCTAGAAATTTAATGCACTTTAACTCGGGCATCCAAAAGCAGGAATTCTTGTGATGTTTTGGGGCTATACAAACAGCACAAACACTGCCTTTCGCAACTAAATGCCATAAGCAAATTGTATCTGTCAGATACAGAGGATAAAGTGTTGTATCTGCATCATACATGTACATTTGCAACTTCCAAAAAGATAGAGGGATTTTTTTTTTTAACATGGGCTATTGGGCTATAGCTAAGAGCACTGGGATGGAATTGATTAGAGGGAGATGTAATCTCAAACTCAGGAAAGGCTCCTAACAGTGAAGTTTATAGTGTGAAATAACATCACTTGGACCATTTGAAATTGGACTGCGCTAAAGCATTTAGGGCTAAGCTTTAGGAACAACCGTGCATTGTCTGAGGAATGAATGACATCCCCTAATACAGGGGTAGGCAACCTATGGCACGCGTGCCGAAGGCGGCACGCGAGCTGATTTTGAGTGGTACTCACACTGCCCAGGTCCTGGCCACCGGTCCGGGGGGCTCTGCTTTTTAATTTAATTTTAAATGAAGCTTCTTAAACATTTTAAAAACCTTATTTACTTTACATACAACAATAGTTTAATTATATATTATAGACTTATAGAAAGAGACCTTCTAAAAACGTTAAAATGTATTACTGGCACGCGAAACCTTAAATTAGAGTGAATAATGAAGACTCGGCCCACCACTTCTGAAAGGTTGCCGACACCTGCCCTAATATGTTAGGTTTTAATTTCTATTATTCTGTTCTGTTTAGGGCATATCTAAATTTGGCTTATTCTAAGCAATGAATCAGGAAAAATCCCCTGGCACGTTACATCCCCAGGCAGGGCCGGCTCCAGGCACCAGCTTAACAAGCAGGTGCTTGGGGCGGCCAAGAGAGAGGGGCGGCACCTGCAGCAATTTGGGGGCGGCATTTCCTTCACTCCCTCTAGGACTGCTGCCGCCGATCGCGGCTTTTATTTTTTATTTATTTATTTATTTTTTGCTTGGGGCGGCAGAAATGCTGGAGCCGGCCCTGTCCCCAGGGAATGCAGCTGGAGTGAGATCTGGTGTACAGCTTCCCGCAAGCTCACCAGGCACATCTCAAAAGAGGTTATGTTAACGCTGAGACTTCACTCAGGTCTTGGTAGCATGACGGTAGCGTGCTGCAGGCACTGCAGCCTTCTCTCACCTGCCAATGCACCGCAAGAGAATGGGTGGCTGTTTTTTTAGAAATGCCTAACTTGCTATTTGCAGGTTGGGGTCTGCTTGGTTCAAGGGCCTGCCACCTAAATTTAGGACTTCAGAAATCAACACCTCGAGAGAAACAAGCCAGGTTTTTTTTCAAGGGCACAGGGAGCATGGCCAGTGTCCAGAGCTCCCCCAAGCAGGCTGTAGTCAGGGTCCTGGAGATGATCTTTCCCGGGAGTGAGTTAGGTTAGGTCAGGTCACCCAGCAGATATGAACATCACAAACACACTATTCCCCCTGTACTAGCAATGCACAAACTCCAGTGGTACTTGTAACGTGGGGAGCTCTCACTGAGACCTTCAAACAGGAATACCACCTGAAACCTCCCCCAATCTCACCTCCACACAGGCCTTCCCACCTTCTCTGCTTAACACACATCTCCACACCGTTTGCCAAGCACTGTCCCCATTTGGGCTAGGGGCATTTTGCTGCTTCATTAATCCAAGATTTAGCACATAACTGGGATGAGGCTTGACACTGGAATGAGGTTTGTCGATGAGGTGAAGTGGTCTGAGGAGTGGAGTGCCAGTCCCTTTGGAACAGTGCAGGCGGTCCCATACCTTCTCCCTGGAGAACTAGCAAGTCAAGCCAGCTTTCCCCAAACTCCTGGAGCACTCTGCTAGGGGCCAGAACACCTTCTACCCCCTGTCCCGTCACCTGAACATTGCACCTCATCCAACTGCTGTCCCTGTAATGGCTTCACACGGGGGCTGATTGCCCCCAAAGCACAAGGCCCTCAAAGCTCATAAGAAACACAGTGGCTGCTACTGAGCCGAAACCTCTCAGATACACAGCAGATTCCCACGCACCGGCCACCGCATTTGCACTGTCCAGCTGCTTGTTTTCCCAACTTGCTCTTTTGTGGTTTCGATTGAGCTTCCCAAATCACCTCTGGAAGCACCCAGTGGCTCAGGGGGCTGAGTGAACTGACTGTCGTCTCAGGCCCACGTGTGTTTGAGAAAGCACAATCAGCTAACACTGGGCCAAGTAGTGCCGTGG